GGAGAGGCGTTCACCGATTCAGAAATGAAGAGACACCACTCTTCAAAACCGGATTTCCCGGCGTAAAGATCGCCTGCTCTTCAGACGCAATCCAGGCTTTTCAGAAAGTGTGTGCAATTTTGTCAAAAGCTCCCAGCTTTTCAGAAGACGCGTGGAAGGCGAGAAATCAGCTGCACACTTTAGCCGACAAACGTGGGTGAAAAGCCGAAAGCTCCCAGCTTTCCAGAAAGCGAGTGCAACTTTGTCAAAAGCTCCCGGCTTTTCAGAAGACGCGTGCCACTTTGTCAAAAGCTCCCAGCTTTTCAGAAGACGCGTGGAAGACATTGCCGCATCCGCACTGCCATTTGCCATTACAATGCCTATATACATCAACATTCATGGCAAGGCATATACCCAGAAGCGCATAACTTTCCTTCTCGGCCAAAAATGTAAGCTGCAACCAACCCGCACAAACATGCTCAGTTTTCTCCTTCTCTTGAGAACACATTTTCAACCATGGATGTATCCCCCAAAGAAGATACCAAAGGCCCGGAGAACAAAGAAGGCAAGAGGAAACGGTGGATCGAAGCATGTCTATTCATTCGCTGCCTCTTCGAAAGCAAAGGTATCTCATATCATCAAGGGCGAAAGCAAAGGTATCTCATATCATGCTCTTTCCCTGTCTTTTCCTTTGTCCTTGATATTACTTGCATGGCAAAGTGAAAGAAGCAATCAACCGGCACTTGGAGTCTATCTAGACTCTATTCCCTGGTTGCTTACCTAGCTTTGCTGAGCTATCCTCTAACCCTCTTCAATACGAATTGGAGAGATTGAACAAAGAAACAGATAAAAGGAGGAAGCTCAGACATTCGGAGGAAACCAAAAGAAGCCTGCTGCCCAGTTCAAGAGTAGCACAAAGGAAAATCAACGATGGGAGCAGCGCAGTTCAAGAGTAAGCCTGTGGAATCACAAAGATCCAAGCCTCACTGCAATCACCAAGGAGAAGATGGAACGAACACTCCATAACCAGATTTGCATCTCTAAACTCTTCTCTTTGTTAGATACATTCTGCCATGTTTAGTATGTTTAATTGTTGTTTATATGTTTGTTTGTGTTTAGTGTGGTTTTTAACATTGAGGACAATGTTTGATTTAAGTGTGGGGGAGTTACTAAAGTGTTTTGATGCAAAATTCGTAGGGTTTTATCCACCATAACTTCAAATGTTGTTTCTTGCTGTTTTTAAGTGTGTTTAGTGTGTTTTGTTTTATAACTCCGAAAATCACATAAAAATTTGAAAAACATGTTTTGAAAAGCCTAAAAAGAGTGTTTTGAGTCGTTTTTTTTGTTTGTGTCGTAGGTCACCTTCCAACACAATGATAAGGATTTGGTTTTTAATTGCATGACTGTTAAAAAGAGTTATAAACATGGAGAAAAGTTTGATTTACTCTTGGTATATGCTTGGTTATGGTTATAATGTATGACTTCACATGCAATCATAAAAGAAAAATTGGTTTTTGTAACATGCTTGAAGGAAGGAACTCAAACAAACGCTACAACCTTGTGAGACTTGAGCCTAAACGTTATTTGGAGAGTTAAAATCTGTGCATTATTGTTTTCCAAAGTCGTTGCATGATCTCATTATTCTTTGCTTGGTTACTACTTAGAAGGCGTTTCATCATATAGTTCCAAATACTAGAACTCATGCCCATTTCATTCAAATCATGTTATTGATTTGCATAACACATATTCAAGATGAAGTTGTGTAGTGACCACCATCAAAGCCAAATAGCCATGTGCCCTTCATTCATTTTATGTTTAAGTTAACCCCGTTGAGCCTTGTTAAGCCTTTATTCCTTGTTAACCCACATTATCCTCACCTAGCCTAGTTTAGGACAGTCCACACCCTTGTTCTTAAAGGATAGTGAGCATGACTTAATTGAATTCCTTTTGAGTTACATTATGAAAGAAAATGAGTGTGGGGGAGAGAATGTTTAAGTGTTTATGTATGTTTTGAGATTCAAAAGAAAAGAAAAACAGAAAAGAAACGAAAAAAAAAAAAAAAAAAATAATGATTGAAGAAAGGGTCCAAAACACCAATTCTGGCCGTAAATTGTCTAAATTCTCCCTTTTTGTTCAAAAGTTGAGTTTTCATTCGAAAGTGAATTCTAAGTTGATTCAAGTGCTTTGCTCACTATTTCTTTAAGAACCTTTGTTTTCCATATCCCTTCTTTGTTATCCACACGCCTCGAACCCCATTACAACCCGTGACTTCAATCTTGAGTGTTATGTGTTTCAATTTGTGGAGTTTGAACTTGGTATGAGCATATGGTGTCACTGGTTCTCGCATCTAAGTCGTAGCATTCCATTCATGAGATCATATCTAAACATGCTTATTAACTCTAGAAATTGCTTTCTTTGTGATACATATATGTGAGTGTTCGTTTTCATGTTTACATCAATCTTCTCACATATGACTAGATTAGGGTGTGTAGTTAGAAATTCTGAGTGAAAATCGAGTGCATATCTTGTAAGGAATTGAGCAAATTCTCTAAGGCATGTTACTACATTCAAAATATGGTTTTAAATGCTTAAATGTGAACTAGTATATGGTGACTATGATTAAGAATGTACTTAAGTGTGAAGATGACTAAAATCTGTGAGAATGATGATTTCTAACATGTCATGTGCATTGGAAATCCCTAAGACGAGTGTTGGAAGGTTTAGGTTGTGTTTTAAGTGTTTAGTGTCGTTTTGTTTATTTGTTTTTATTCTGTTTTGCTCGAGGACTAGCAAAAGTTAAGTGTGGGGGAGTTTGATAGGAGCATATTTAGGCGACTTACTTAGCTTGTTTTCGTGCATCTATGTTGGTAATTCATAGTTATTTTAGTCCTTTATGCTTCTTTTGTGTGTTTTCAGGTTCTAAGGGCTTAGGGAGCAAGAAAGTGCATTTTGAGGCTATTTGGGGCACTTTTGGGCATGGATTGGATAGCTTAATCATGGAGCAAAGAGGATGGACGAAATTGAAGCCTTGTATGCTCTTTGGGGACATCAAACAAAGGGCCTAGCCCAATCAAACAAATCCTTTGAGCCATGGAAAACCTCTAGCCCAATCAAACATATTATGCCATGCAAATCAACCTATTTTAGGCCCATTCTATGTACTTAAACCCTAGCCCTTTAAACTAGTCCATTTATCACTATTCACTTCCATTCACTTATCACTTATCATCACCACATATCATTCATTTATCACTTAACATATCATTCATTCATCTCCTTATCATAACCATACACCTATCACTTATCACTTATCACAACAACAACCTTGCACATGCACTCCCATTCTTTAACCCAATTCCTTTCCAACATCTCACATGCATTTCCACCTTCCTACTTCATCATTTCATCACATTCTCCCTCTTTAATTCCACATGCATTCACTTCATCATTACACCACCATTCATTCTTTATTCCACAAACAAGTCACATGCATTTCCACCTTCCTACTTCATCATTTCACCACATTCTCCCTCTTTAACTCATTTCATTATTCATTCACTTTGCATTCATTCAATTCCACCCCACATGCACCCTTTATTCTTCATCATTGCAACCATGGCACATTTACACCAACAAAACAACTCCCATGTCATGGCCTACTCATATTCCCATTTCCTTTCCAACATCTCACATGCATTTCCACCTTCCTACTTCATCATTTCACCACATTTTCCCTTTTATTTCCACATGCAATTCTTCATCATTGTAGCCACAAACACCTTAAACAAATAGCCATATACATCTCCACTCCTCCTATAAATACCCTTGCATTCATTCATTCAAATATCATCTCATTCACAACACAACACTCCTCAAAATCATCCATTCTCCTCCCTAGCCGTGAGTCTCCCTTAGAATCCAAAAACCATCTTCCATTTCCACCAATCCTCATCCATTTCCATAATTCCCCAACACTTCCATCCCCCCAACCAACCTATCCTTAAACCTTGTGCTACAACAACGAGGAAGAGAAGAGTGCCTAAACGTTCATACAATTCAAGTTTTGAGTTGTTGGAATGTTTAGGTGTTTCTTTGATTTCAAAGTTTCATTTTAATTCTCTTTGTTTTGTAAGTATGAGAATTGGAAGAAAAGAGTGCTTAAACGTTCATACAATTCAAAGTTTTGAGTTGTTGGAATGTTTAGGTGTTTCTTTGATTTCAAAGTTATGAGGAACTAAACCCCCTTTAGCTAGGGGGTGATTCGAAATATATGTTTATGCTTGCATTATGATTTGAGTACTTCTAATTACGTTTCATAAGTTGTGAATTCAATTTGTTTAACTATTTGATTGATAACCTATTTATGTATGTTTATTGAGAGTCGACGCTTAATTTTCATGCATGAATTTGACGCTAGAATATAAGTGAGTTTCACGTAATAGTTATGAACTTATATTCACAAGTAGTGGAGGTTGCTTATAAACAATCGCGTTAAACAAATTCTTGGCATAAGTTTCATGCAATCATAGTAACGAATGCCTCGTCAACACTTATAGTTTTCATGATGCTTAATGATTCTTGCTTGTATCTCTATTATGCAATTCATGTAGGGAACTTGTGAGGAATGCTTTGGGTTGTCGTATGCAATCATCCAATTCATTAACTTAAGGAAAACTTGACGGTTAATTTAAGCGGACCTAATTAACCCGGAGCGTTGAGAATTCATGGTTTATTGAAAAGTAATTAGAAATCGTTTTGTATGCAAGTATAACATGTGTGGAGATGAACCCCTTAGCTAGCTTCCCATCCATTCATTTCCGTCAAATCCATATTCACAATTTGTTTTGTTTCCAAGTATTTATTTTAGTAAATTCGTCCAAATCCAATCCCCCCTTATTTTGTTTAAGTTTTAGTCTTAATCTTTCTTATTTTTAGTTTTGCATTCTTTGAGCATTAAATATTGTTTTATATTGTGTTTTTACGTTTTTAAGTCAAATTCAAGTGATTAACAATCCCTCCTAATCCCCGGTCCAGAACGATCCCTACTTACATCCATACTACAATTGTCAAAAAGAGGGTTTAATTTGTGCGCGTATAATTCACGCATCACATCACTACCCGCAACCTGACGCAGCGGTGCACAGGGCTTTTAAAAACAAAACTCCTAGGCTTCTTCACGTGCACAGTTCCAATTCATGGATTCAAGAGATCTGCAAACATCAAAGACTGGAGGCCGAGGAGGGATGCGTCGATGCTGCTGACATGAAAACGTCAAAGATTCAAGTTGAAGGATCAATGGTAATTGATTTTTAGTTGAGAGATTACCGCTACAATTTACTCAAAAAACTAAATACATCTATAGAAAAGAGATAACTGGAAAAAAACATAGAGCCCTTTGTCAAAAAATTTCCTAAATTTATAATCCACTGTCAATTTACTCCTAAATTTTAAATTCAGCTAATAATTCTCCTCAATTTTCATTTATCTGTAAATTCCCCCGGCTATTTAATTTTTCTACATTTCTTGCCACGCGCGGAACTGACGTGGAAACCGGAGTGAGATCTTGCCACGTGCAATTGCTTGCGTGGAAATAAAGTTACCCTGTCCCAACTGAACGTTATCCATCTTTAAGAAACCTGATGCTCGTCGGGTATTTTTTGTATACATCCATCCATCGTATATCGTGTTAGCATGTTTAAACCACAGACAATCAGCTCTTCCATACGAAAGCCGCACCATCATAAGCCACTACCGGACGTAATGCTGTCACCGTCAGATGTAAAGCTGTCACAAAACTTAGGTCACTGCCGTGTGAATGTTACTCGTGTTTCTTTATTTAATATTAAATTTAAAAAATAAAAATACAACTCTACGATGGTCTTCCCCAACGGCCGAAGCAAAAGCGAAAACGTCTTTTTTCCGGGGACGATTTATAATTTTCCTTTCGATTTTCGCGGAAGATAATTTCACCGTCAAATTTTCCCGGGAAAATCCCAAGCACAGGTTCGTATCTAACCCTTGTTCTCATATCCTTTTAAGAAATATTTTCCTTTCCTTTTTTCGTCTTCAAGAATTATGACTATTTCTGGTCCCTTTTCAATTCTTTCGCACAGGTTGATAATTTTCTCTGTGATGCAAGTTTTAGGGTTTATCCTTTGATTTTTATTGACGAATGTGAATTAATTGCTGTTTTATTTATTTATTTATTTTTAATATTCTGCTTGTGGAAGTTAGAGGTTTTGGTGATGGAAATAAATTTGTCTGGCTGCTTAGAAAATTAATTTTTATTAGTAAAATGTGTTACAATATGGGAAAAAATATTAAATGGTTATTATTCGATACTGATTAGTGTACCAATCACTGTGTTTTGTGTTGATTTTATGTGTATTAGAGGTCTAGTATTGTGTATTAATGATAGAAATTATAAATTCTGTAGTGCTGGTAAGGTGCCAGGTTATTACTTTAGGATCTGTAATTTTGGTGCAAGCCTTGACGACAACTAGGAATGGGCATTCGGTTAGTTGGATGAGCCTGACCAACCCGAATCCAACCCGCATTTTGGGAAATTTTGGCAAAGGATAAGTAACTTGAGGTTATATTTGTTTTTAACCCAAACTAAATGTTTGCAGATAGACATGGATTGAGAAACTCCAACCCGAGGATATCATGCCTTATGAAGCAATCTATAGACTTTTGCATGTAGTGATATGAACTTATCACTTCCTGACATTTATCTTGTTTGGGTTTGCATGATGCTTGTAATGAAGAGTGATGTTGATGCAAGACATTTAAGTGCACCTTTCGCTTTAATCATGGTATAATGTTGGAATTAGTTCATGTATTATACATCTCTGAATATTTCACCTGAAATATCACGACTTAAGAGATTAGTATTCATTATGATATTTGTTTCCTGACTGTTAAATAGTAATGCTTGTACTTTTCACATTAATTAAAATGCTCCAATTCTTACAGATTCTCGTTTTCCCTGGATGCTTCTTCCTTACATCCTCAAAGGCTAACCAAAATTATAAAGCACGTCCAATTGGCTCAAGTTTAACCATATATTTTGAGACTCTAACTCAATGGGATGGAGGGGCATTTTATGTTCTTCCTTTTTCTTTATATCCCTAGTCGAGTCCTCGAGCAGATTAGGAGAAATGTGGTCACTCAACCTTGGTGCTGAATCATCAGCAGCTTTCAGCTGGCCAATCCTCAGTGCTAGCATTTTCGTACTTGTTGCTCTTCTTCTCTCCATGTACCTTATCTTCGAGCATTTAGCTGCTTATAATCAGCCAGAGGTCTGATCTTTGTATTCCTCCTGAGAAATTTAGATTGCTTCTATGTCTAAAGATAACTTTGATTCATCTTTTCTGGCATTTTTTTTTCTTTTCCTTTTATCTATTTTCAGGAGCAGAAGTTTCTGATTGGTCTCATTTTGATGGTTCCTGTCTATGCACTGGAATCGGTATGACTGTACATTCTGCTATCACTTTCTTCAGTTGTATGCTAGTTTTTCGTGAAATTCTGTAGAAGTATAATTATTTGTATTTTTATAAATCAACCTTTCATTTTAATATATTGAGAACAGCTTGAGTTTTTTTTTTTTTTTTTTTTTGGGGGGGGGGGGGGGGGGGGCGCGTACTGAGAATACACATACAGTTCAAGGGTAGTTTAAATAGAAGGCATTTTACTACTTTACCCTCCTCAATTAGTTAGCAAATAGTTACAAATTTAGTATGAGAATAACAGTTAATGGAATTCTTTTCAAGTAAATAAGTTTGCCATTAAAGTTATGACATGTTACTAGTATAGATATGGAGCTCAAATGACCTCTGGAATGTGTACCAGATTGAGTATTGGCAGGGTCCTCTTTGGAAGGCTACAACTTCAAATGGATGTATAGGAAGAAGTTATGTTTGCTTTTGTGTTATGAAAGAAAAATGGTAGTATGCCAGATATGTTGATAAGTATAGGGATGCAATTGCAATATATTAGTTACGTAATACCAACTTATTGAAATGATACAAAGACAGACTGTGAAGTCAGATATATTTCATTTCTTTTGCAAGATTATGTTGTTACCTCACTCTGTAAAAAGTGAGTTCTATTTCTGTTACTTGTTAAAACTGGAGATAATTTGGCAATGTATCTTAGACACAGGAATTGCTTTTTGACAGCAAATCCTAGAGTTATGACAGGCATAATATTTATTCATAATTGGTCCTTTGTCTACAGTTGTAAAGATATTCAATATTTGAAGTCTGCTCTTATTGTTGGAAACTGTATCACAAAAGTAATATATCTACATACAGTTGGTCCTTTCGTTTTTCTTGGCATATGTCTGCTTTTAGTCTTTTGAGTTATCCAGTTTGTACTGCTGCTCTTAATTATTAGTATTTAACATTTTGTGGATTAATTAGTTGTTGTGGGTAATAATGCTTTTGGCTGCAGTTTTTGTCACTGTTGGACTCCAATGCGGCCTTCAATTGCGAAGCAATTCGGGACTGCTACGAGGCTTTTGCACTATATTGTTTTGAGAGATACCTGATAGCGTGCTTAGGTATGTAACCAAAATGTGAATGTTGAATCCTCTGTGATTATCAAGTACTTACCACACTAGTGACGCTAATCAGTATCTTTTTTCCTTAGTGCTATTCTTGTGTGTGCAATGCACACATTAATGAAAATTTATATGTTGATAAGTTGTTCCTAAGAAAATAACCAAGTTTGTTGAACATGTTTAATAATGTAAACCTCAAACAATTTGCCTCCTTTTTGTGGACATACATTTTTCTATGTAAAGGTGGTGAGGAGAGGACAATTGAATTTATGGAGAGTCAAAGCATCGTCGACTCGAGCACACCTCTTTTGAAAGAATCTTATGCTTATGGAGTTGTAGAGCATCCTTTCCCACTGAATTGCCTCATAGGAGACTGGCCTCTTGGCTCCGCATTCTACTATGCTGTTAAAATTGGCATCGTTCAGTATGTACGTACTCATTTTCCTGCTGAAATTTTTTTTTATCATTCTATCTCCTTGAAAGTTTTCAGCCTTATTTGGTCTTGTCATTATTTTTCAGATGATACTGAAATTGATCTGCGCTTTGCTAGCAATGATTCTTGAGTCTTTTGGTGTTTATGGAGAGGGGAAATTTGATGGGAGATATGGGTAAGATATTTGCTTCTGTATCATTTAGGTCTGAAAGCTTGTTTGTCTGACCGTTACTAGTAGCCAATTATTCATGTCTTCTTAGGTGATAGGTTGAGGCCTTATGTATTGATGCTTGATCCACACACACACACACTTCCACATAATCACTTTCTTGAGGACAAATGTTTGTGCTTGCATAGGATGACTTACTCGCATCTGTAGTTTTTATTACAAGTTTTTTGTAGTGTTGCACTTGTTTCTGCTGTACTTTCCATATATATTGTTCTGAATTAATTTTGTTTGCTTGCAGCTATCCTTACTTGGCAGTTGTTCTAAATTTTAGTCAGACATGGGCCCTATACTGCCTTGTGCAGTTTTACTCTGTCATTAAAGACAAATTACAACCCATCAAACCCTTGGCAAAGTTTCTGACTTTTAAGTCCATTGTGTTCTTGACAGTGGTGGCAAGGAATCGCTGTTGCATTTCTTTTCTCTATGGGTGCCTTCAAAGGGTCATTGGCTCAGGAGCTGAAAACTAGGATACAAGACTACATCATATGCATAGAGGTGGGTTATGACTAATAACTAATCATTTAAATGTGCTGTTGAATTGTATTATGTTCGGTGTTGCAGAGCTTGAAGACCTGACATGTCTTTAACATTTGACATATTAATGCTTGAATTAAATTGAAAGCTTAAATTGAGTTCCGAAAGGAAGAGACATATTAATGAGTTGGACTAATGTTGTGGATGATTAGAAGAAACCCAGGATCTCATTGGAGATCAAGTTTATTCTAGTTGGGTTGTTCTAAGTTGTTCTATTATAAATCAGACTCGACCTAAATTGTAATCATACCATGTTTTTTAAAGCAAAACAAAGGAAAATCCTCTTCTTGTTAACAGTAGCGTAAGCCACAAAATTTCTTAAAAGAACTAGAGAAATAAAGGTTATCCTTCATAGTAAGGTATAAAGGAGTCTATTGTAGTTATATTTAAACCCCATATATCTGTGGATAGAACACGTTAAACCCTAATTCATTAGTTTCTATCCTTCATTATAATTTAATCTCACCAGTCCATGATAACCAAGTAAGAACACAAAAAAAACATGATGCTATTAAAGAAGCAGCTAGATTACTATGATCAATAAAAAGCTGAGAGTGTTCACAAGACCGGATAATTGTGTACATTAATTTAGCAATTTTTTTTTGGTACAAATTTTCATTGTCTGGATCATCATTATCTTATGAGAATTTTGAGTCAGTTTTAAACAGTACTATGAAAAATTACTCCACAACCGGTCAGACTTCTATTCTATGCATATGATAGTTTATGATACATGAGCTGAGCATTCTGAGTAGGTCCTTTGTGCACATGTATGGTGTAAGTTCTGATTGATGTTCAATGCATAGAAGATTTGTTCCAAATAAGATCCTGAAGTTCAGTGGGGTTGGATTTCAAATTTGTTAAACAGATGGGTGTTGCTGCTGTAGTCCACCTTTATGTATTTCCAGCTGTACCTTACAAACGTGGAGAAAGATGTGTTCGGAATGTTGCTGTAATGACTGACTATGCATCTCTGGGAGCACCTCCCGATCCAGAAGAGGTACGTGATTGTGAAAGAACAACCAGAGTGCATTTGGCAGTGGCACGGCACGATGAGAGAGAAAAGCGCCTGAATTTCCCCCAGAGTGTTCGTGATGTGATTTTCGGAAGTGGAGAAATTGTGAGTAGTTAATCCTAATATCTTATGCCTTTTCTCTGTTTCATTTAAAACTCATTTCTTCGAATCAATGGTCACTCTGCTGTTTGTTGTTTCAGATGGTTGATGACATGAAGTATACAGTTTCTCATGTGGTTGAACCAGTTGAAAGAGGGATTGCAAAGATAAACAAAACCTTGCATCAGATATCCGAGAATGTGAAACGCCACGAGGAGCAGAGGAAGAGCATCAAGGATGATAGTTATCTGATCCCCTTGAATTCATGGAATAGAGAGTTTTCCGAAGCTCACGACAATCTTGTTGGAGGTAGTGCCAGTGACAGTGGCATAACCAGTGGTAGGAGGCAGCAGTCCCAGTCTAAAGCTTCAACATCTCGGACTAGAGCGTGGAGATGATGCTAACAGCTGTACGTAAGACAAACACTAGAGTAAAATTGTAAATGCTGTCATGATTTCGGCGTGATTTTTAAAAGACGTCGATATACTTGGGCTGGCCAGAAGAGCTGGTGGTTTATGGAGCTAACCCGTCGAAGAGGACGACAACATTCATGAATTTGGGCATCAAGAAGGATCGTGTTGATGAATCCGTTGATCAGCCGTGGAAAGTAGAGAATGGTGGAGCGCTCGATCGACATACTGACAGAGCAAATGGCACATTCACTGTATTGAACATATCTCTAAGTCTCGAAACAATTTGAATACAACTACGAAAATATAATTTTAATTTTGGCAGAAGCCATAGTGGTATGGGACCTTTTCAGACAAACTGTGTTTTGAAAATGAAATTTGATTAGGCCAGTTGCACCATCTTACATATTTTTTGTCTTACTCTTAGTTGAGCAGTTTTCAAACCCGATTTTTGTCCCACATTGTCAACTCGGTGATGAAATGGATCCCTTATTGTTGAAAATGAGATTAAAATCGAGTTCCGTGGAGCACTGCCAAACAACAAAAACCTGAAAAAGGAAAAATAATAATGGGCCTTCTCTTCTCTGAGAGGGGGGAAGAAAACCCTATGGGCCTTGCCTCCCTACTCCTTAGCCCGAAAGAAATGGTAGGGTAGATTTGTCTTTGCACCCTGCAAAATCGGGGAGCTAGGGTTTTGCGTATACCTCTATAAATAACATTGCAAAACCTTCCAAAGCTTATCTCTTTGTACGGCGGTCTCTCGTTCTCTGTGCGATTGCGAGCGAGTCTTTTGTGTTTGGTTGGTGTATTTGTGTGTGCGGGGGGCAGTGATGATCACCTGAGGAAGTCATGCACCACTCTGATGATTTGATTTCAATCAATCTGTGCTGATAAATTTCTCATACCCAATTCTGCTGAGCCCCTTGCCTTTTTATTATATTATTTTGTTTTTATTTTTCAAATTTGCGTGCTTTGTGCGTTCTCTGCATCCAGATTTGAAATTCAAGGGCATTGTTTTGAAAAAATGATATGGATTTGATGAGAGGGACCAAGTGATGGGATCTTTTGATCCAACCATGATGCGGACCGTACAGCTCTTTTGCTTTTGGGGATACAATTTTGGTGTCTGATGGTTCCTTTCTTTAATCCATATCTTTTTCCTGCTAATATATTTTCTGTTTTGTTGTGCATTTTGTACGTGATTCCTGCTGATTTGTTAATTTCAACTCTTTAATTTCATACCAAAACTTAAAATCATTTCACGAAAAACCTACAATTTCTTCTAACTTGGCCACAAATTTGCATTTCTTTCAACATTACCTGGAAAATACTTCTTTATCCATTCCCATTGAAACCTTTATACCAAGCAAGACCTAAACGAGAGCTGAAGGTGCTTAAGTAGTGAGGGGGCAATGCTAGGATGATGAGTTGGCTACCCATGTCATTTGTTAAATGACAAATTCTGATTGTCTCATGTGTCCTCTTCGTAGTAACTATTGGTTAACAATATGTTGTTGAGTTGTTTAGCAATTTGTTTTTGAACTTGTTAGTACACATATGCACTCCAAGTTGCCATAGCTTGAGTGTGCAGCAGTTAATTTTCAGCAACTGCATTCCTTTCTCGAGATGTATGAGAGCAATGAAAACCCATGTGCAGCAACAGGGAAATACAGTTTCTCCAATAAAGTTTGGAATGACTAAGGAGAAGAAAAAGAACCAGAAGCAAAACAAGATATCATACTAGAATAGAACTCCATTGCAAGGATGATAGCATGAAGCTTTGCATAGAAAGAAGTATGATGGCCTAAGCTTAGGGAGAAACCACCAAAAAAATAACTCGTAGAATCACGAAAAAACCTCATCACAAGCCGTAGGACCTAGGTTACCTTTAGCAAGGTCATCCATATTCACTTTTACCCAAGGCAAAAGAACATGAACTATAGAAGGATCCAAGATTCCAAAAGGAGTAAAAGTTTCTTATCCAAAATACCATGTACATGACCAGGAGTGAAAAATCCAACCTGTCTTATCCGGGCTAAAATAAAAAGAAAAATGCATAAAAAGAAGGAGACATACTTTCAAACTTCACTTTATTACGCATCTTCCAAATAGCCAATAATAAGAAAAAACTTGATGCTAACCAAACAATGCAGAATTGTGGAGAAAACTGCTTTGACACAAAGGCAAGTCATAAATTCGAGAAGAAATCCGCAAGCGGAAGAATAGGGCCAAATTGAGTAGCAAACCAAAACTAAGCACGTTATACAAATTCACCTAAAAAAAATAAAAAAGTGCTTAATAAATTCAGAACTATTGTAACATAGTTGACATATTGGAACCAGAGCCGGCCCTAATCTAGTATTAATTGGGACTATGTCCAGGGCCTAAAATTGAAAGGGACACAAATTTTTTTTGCACATGTATAGTTATATAAAACAAATTTGCTCACACTGCCGCGTGCATTCAACTCTTCACCTTCGGCTGGTATTTAATGCGTAATGCATAGTTGGAGCTACAAGTTCCAATCGATCAATAAGGCAACTGACTTTGATAAAAAAAAATGAAAGCTCTTATGTTCATCTTTGACACCTTGGTAAATTCTTCTCAAGCAATGACCTTCTCTTTGGTCTTTAAACGTCTTCCAAGGACCAAGTTCCAAGGTTCAAGCCCGAAACCTTAATTTTGCTTTTTATAAATCAATTTTAATTTCGTATCGGGACAGCAAAAGCAGCAATCCGCAACACCCATGAGTTATCGGGACAGCAAATGCTTGTGGTTTTACATCTTTTGACTAGGTATGCGTTATTGATGCGTGCTGACCACGGAAAGTATAAGTAAAACATTATCCTGAATCTAAAATATGAAATCTAGACGAGCGACAAATTCATTCTGGAATTTTTATACAGTGCAAATGTTGAAACATGCATATTGTATATACATTTTTTTTTCTCTCCTTGTTTTATTTGATTTAAATGCAAAAAATAAACACGAATCGTGATGTAATATTGCTCAATTTTATGTTTATCCTTTCAAAGTGTCAAACCTACTTGCTATTCATATCAACCAGTAACAGCGACATATGTTCATGTTAATTGTTGGGGAACGTGGCAAGTCTACCGCAAATCTCCATCAATAATGATCCTTTATCATGCTCGGATTCCAGGTTGCTCAAGATTTAGAATAGGTCAACTATGTGATTAATGTATATTGTATCCATATACAGCTTGGCTGAATTTGTATATATTGTACGGAATTCATCATCTGAATTCAAAATATGGAAACACATTTCATTACGTTAATGATTAACTCTCGTTTTTTTATACACCGATATATTCGATATATTTACATAAAGGGGTGAGAGAATAGATGGATTTTGAACTTACGACCTTTTACATATAAGTGAAAAAGAAAACTACTAGATCATATTACTAATTAATGGCAATGATCAACCCTCGTTATTGTTTTTTATACAACGAAATATTTACATTAAGGATTGGGGGAATAAATAGATTTTGAACTCGCCATCTATTATATTTGAATCTAAGACCTTTCACTTATAAATAAAAATGAATAACCAAACCATATCACTAAGTAAAATGATCAACCCTTTTTATTAAGAGACGGAAAGTAGACCACCTTGCCTATAAGTGAAGATGAATAATCAAACCATATTACTAAGTAAAATGATCAACCCTTTTTATTAAGAGACGGAAAGTAGACCACCTTGCCTTTAAACTGAGCAACCCTTTTTATTAACAGTTTCTCTATGCGATTGCGAGCGAGTCTTTTGTGTTAGGTTAGTGTATTTGTGTGTGCGGGGGGCAGTGATGATCACCTGAGGAAGTCATGCACCACTCTGATGATTTGATTTCAATCAATCTTTGCTGATAAATTTCTCATACCCAATTCTGCTGAGCCCCTTGCCTTTTTATTTTATTATTTTGTTTTTATTTCTCAAATTTGCGTGCTTTGTGCGTTCTCTGCATTGAAATTCAAGGGCATTGTTTTGAAAAAATGATATGGATTTGATAAGAGGGACCAAGTGATGGGATCTTTTGATCCAACCATGATGCGGACCGAACAGCTCTTTTGCTTTTGGGGATACAATTTTGGTGTCTGATGGTTCCTTTCTTTAATCCATATCTTTTTCCTGCTAATATATTTTCTGTTTTGTTGTGCATTTTGTACGTGATTCCTGCTGATTTGTTAATTTCAACTCTTTAATTTCATACCAAAACTTAAATCATTTCCCGAAAAACCTACAATTTCTTCTTAACTTGGCCACAAATTTGCATTTCTTTCAACATTACCTGGAAAATACTTCTTTATCCATTCCCATTGAAACCTTTATACCAAACAAGACCTAAACGAGGGCTGAAGGTGCTTAAGTAGTGAGGGGGCAATGCTAGGATGATGAGTTGGCTACCCATGTCATTTGTTAAATGACAAATTCTGATTGTCTCATGTGTCCTCTTTCTAGTAGCTATTGGTTAACAATATGTTGTTAAGTTTTATAGCAATTTGTTTTTGAACTTGTTAGTATACATATGCACTCCAAGTTGCCATAGCTTGAGTCTGCAGCAGTTAATTTTCAGCAATTGCATTCCTTTCTCGAGATGTATGAGAGCAATGAAAACCCATGTGCAGCAACAGGGAAATACAGTTTCTCCAATAAAGTTTGGAATGACTAAGGAGAAGAAAAAGAACCAGAAGCAAAACAAGATATCATACTAGAATAGAACTCCATTGCAAGGATGATAGCATGAAGCTTTGCATAGAAAGAAGTATGATGGCCTAAGCTTAGGGAGAAACCACCAAAAAAATAACTCGTAGAATCACGAAAAAACCTCACCACAAGCCGTAGGACCTAGGTTACCTTTAGCAAGGTCATCCATATTCACTTTTACCCAAGGCAAAAGAACATGAACTATAGAAGGATCCAAGATTCCAAAAGGAGTAAAAGTTTCTTATCCAAAATATCATGTACATGACCAGGAGTGAAAAATCCAACCTGTCTTATCCGGGCTAAAATAAAAAGAAAAATGCATAAAAAGAAGGAGACATACTTTCAAACTTCACTTTATTACGCATCTTCCAAATAGCTAATAATAAGAAAAACCTTGATGCTAACCAAACAATGTAGAATTGTGGAGAAAACTGCTTTGACAAGGCTAAGTCATAAATTCGAGAAGAAACACGCAAGCGGAAGAATATTGCCAAATTGAGTAGCAAACCAAAACTATGCACGTTATACAAATTCACAAAAAAATAAAAAAATGCTTAATAAATTCAGAACTATTGTAACATAGTTGACATATTGGAACCAGAGCCGGCCCTAATCTAGTATTAATTGGAACTAGGTCCGGGGCCTAAAATTGAAAGGGACACAAATTTTTTTTGCACA